CAAAGTTTTCGAAAACCAAAGCGAACCAAAGCGACAGTTCTTGCGTCGCGTCGTGTCCATTGGTTAATCGACTGTATACTTACAATCGGTATTGCTTATTACCGCGAACACCCGAAATTATAATCTACGTACACGTAACGAGGCAACGTCGATGAATTTTTAGACTCGGTAGAACGAAAGGTGCGAATCAACTTGTTCACCTGTGTGCACCAAGAATGTCAGCTTCTAAAAATAAACCGAACCGATTGTCAACGGACTCTAGTTGTCTCGCGTATGCGTTACCCGTGCACGAAGATAGTCGGTATCTCGACGAGACGGTGTCCGATGACGACCACCAACACGACCGACAATTCTTCCGACCCCCGCAGGAGACGAACTCGTCTCTTTTATTGTTCGTCGATACGAATTTTATAGATGCGCCGCGATGCTTGTACGCGTGTAGTGGCAAGCGTATCGACACCGTTTACACGGAAATACGAGATCCACCTGACCGAACGTTCGTTCGTGTCGCACGACGATTCGATCGGCCACGGTGGCAGCGGGGTATGTACCGGACACGTTCAGCCTCTGTGCGTTATAGGTGTGTACTTATTTTCGGGCATTCGACGATTACCCGTCTCTTCGATTCAACGTGTTCGTTTCGGACGCGAAGAAGAAAGGAATTTTTTATATGGCAACGCGACACCCATCGCTCTCGCCAGGATCTGTTTAGAGTGCATATTTAGTTAAACTCGTGCAGCGTTTATGGGGCCGTGTTTCCCTTTGCGATAAATTCAATGGACTCGCGAACGCGTGATTGCAGTCTGTGTGCCATCTATGCTCTTTGTCCCGTTAGACACTTGAAACGGTGGATGAGCCACGAAAGCGGGCGACAGGGAAACGTCGACGTCGACAGCACCGCGTTGAAATCTACTAGGGCCAGTCCGGTTTAATTTCTCTGGATTTACGCCGGTGAAGATGCCATACCGTTTGTCGGTGAACTTCAAGAGGCTGAACGAGGATGTACGGGAGGAGTGTCGTCGGGTCGATTTTGCACAGAGCCATTTTGGAATGCAATTAAACGCAGTACAGCGAAATACGATGCCAGTCGCTGGTGCCGGTGCCGGTGATCCGCTCCATTCTGTTCCGCTCTGTTCCGTTTTGCTTTGCTTCGCTCTCCCTCGGGTTCCCTCCTCTCGAGCCCCACCTCGGCTGTTTCGGTCCCTCCGCACTCACCGGTTAATACGCATCAAGATTGGGGAACACCTTTGCTCGTTCAGGTATAAGCAAACATTTCGGTTTCGACCGACGCGACGTAACGGCAAAGAGTTCTCGCCTCGTCCGTTTCGTTCGACCGCGTTTCAATCGAGTGACGAAACGATACGTATGTACATACACGTGTACCTACAATCTATAGTCTATACCCAAGACGGAGAACATTCCATATAAGTTTCGTTCGACCGCGTATGTACATACACGTGTACCTACAATCTATAGTCTATACCCAAGACGGAGAACATTCCATATTATAATCGCGTGTAAAGAAACAATTTTAACGAGCGCCGATTTCCTCGGGAGTTCCTCGAAATGCAAGACAGAGGAAGAGGACAAGGACGGGAGTTGCGTCAAAGAAGCAGAGGAAGCGAAAAAAGAATACCAAGAAGAAGAAGGAGAATGAGGAGGAAGGGAGAAAAGTCGTGGACTCGAGAATCGGAGGATCGTTTTGATAAGAGAACGCGTAGCTGTCTTACGGCGACAGAAGCGCGCAGGAGGGTGAAATCTGGCTACGGGGGTGTACATGGATAGAATAGGTGAGAGGAGGGTAGGTGTGGGAGTGAGAGTGCGAGTTCGAGTGAGAAAGACAGAGAGGAAACGAGGAAAATGGCGGCTCGGAGGAAATCCGACACCAAATCGAAGGAGACGCCATCGCAAAGCGCGGCGCCGCCCCTCTATCATCGGCTCTTGCCTCTGCCGACGGTGTCATCCTCCTGCTTCCGCCTAGAAGCGGTACGCGCCCCGAGCGATATTCTTCGTTTATCTCGAACCGTCCGATCGTGAATCTCGTACATACATACCTACATACGTACATAGCGCGATGCCTTTTAACGCGCCGAAGGATCAACTCGTTCGAATAGATACCTACCCAAATATGCTTGGATAAAAACTACCCCTTACACCGCGATGCCCGGTCGAATCGCTTTCAGATGAGAAATAGGAAGAGTTGTCGGTCCGTTTAAGAATTGGTCGATCACGAAATGTATCCAACTTGAGGTACGAACGGGTCAAGGCGTTGGTTCGAACACAGCCTATAAAATGATGTTTTAGACGGAAACGTGCGACCGATGCGATTCGTTATTCAACGTATTCGAAGACTCTTCAACGCTGAACATTAAATATCGCCATATGCGACTGAAACAAATACCATTGTGTTACAATCTTAGGTGGTTGAAATGGAAGATTCGACACGTAAATGTAATAATATGAATTAAGTAAACTATTAATATGTTAATGATGTACAATGGTTATCTATACGTTCTCTCTCAATTACCATTTATCGCCAACTGCCGAATCGTTTCCTTCCGCACATACCCTTTCCGCAAGTTCGGTTAGTGTTATAAAACTATTACAATTGGTTTCAGAGTTCCAAGTTCTATCACTGTGTTAAAACTCATTAAAAAGCCAGCGTTACACCTGGGGACCTCTCCTTGTGAGTACCGGAGATCTTTCGAACACCGATGATTTACCGTATCATCGAGGTTCTCGAAGAGATCTCGTTCGAACGAGTAGATACGTATGTCTGTAGGTATATGCATGGATGAAATTCGTGAACGTGCCGCCGCGGCTCGACACGAGACGTTCCGTCACGGTAGAAGAACAGCGTCGAACGACACACGGAAGGCAATTAGTCGGAAAAGGCGGAGCGGCAGCAAAGGATTGGCAAGGCGTGGTGAACATCAAGAATTTTCGTGGCAGTCGAAAGACGAGTTCGTTCGTCTGTCAGAACATCGGCTCCGATTGATCTACGTAACGCCGGTGGCCAGGCAGTCTCGACGCTATTTTCATCGGCGAGTAAGCAGCCTCGACTTCCTGCCGGCGAAGAAAAAAGTCCTGGCAGCATCTCACGTTTTGTCGTCCACGAATGCCATTCAAATTTCCACGTTTCTACAGCATCGCGCCCGATCGTTGGACGAACGATGTCGATCGATTTGCGCGTTATCTCGATCACTTTCGGCGACCCGTTCGAATTTCTTAGAACGCGCACGATACAAAGCACGCGGTGGCTGACGATTCGGAAAACTGTACGCGTTGTTGGCGATCAGAAGTGGAAGGGTCGCGGGTAAAACATCGAGATAAAGAACGGCGAGCAAAGCGAGGAATTGTTGCCGGTTGTTATGAAATTAGTCGAACGCGAGGCGCGATAGCACCGTTTAGAATCACAACACGGTGTACGGTAACGTTGACGTGTTCCGTTTCCGGTGTACGGCGCGTCGGTCACCTTCTATATTCCCGGACGTTGACGATCTCCGATCTTGAATTCGTGAGACCACGCGCACGTGGATATCGATACGACACGATTCGTCCGTTTCCCAGAAGACTAGCTACGACAGATTCTCGACGACCAGTACCGAACCTAGTATACAATACCAGGATTCGCGACATTGTGAACGTCGATTTTGAAGAAAAATTCGGTCCCTGATTTCTATTAAAAAAGATCCATTGTAATTTTGATCCGGGTGATCGAGAAACAAAGCAACGCGAGATACATATGTGTACGTAGGTACTACCTACCCGTGGATAATACGAATGAATTCAGGAAATTGTGTTCCATCTATCGAATTCCGTCGGGGACATGTCGCATCGACAGGTGAGGATCCACCGGCGAGTGGCAACGCGGACACCGAATGGGGTGGCTTTCGTCGGGGGTAGATGTTTGCGCCGCCCCCGGTCTCGTCCAATGGGACGTGCTCGCGCGCTACCCGTTGCCCAATCGGAGCGCCGGCCGACGTCCGACCGCGTCCTGCTCCACTCCTCTCCGTGGGAGCGTGTACGAAAAAAAGAGGGCAAACGAAGGGAAGAGCAAGAGAGAGCACCACCGTCGACGCCACCACCACCACCACCACCACCATCGTCGACCTCGTCGTCCGCTACCAACGAAACAGCAGCGGCAGCGGCTTTGACATCGGTTAAGGCTAAGGCTAAGGCTAACGCTAACGCTAACACTAAGGCTGTAACGAGTGTAACGCGTATCGACAGTGAGTGCGAAGCAATCGGGCACCGGTTCGGTCACGCAGTACCAGCATAACACGACTACGAGATATCGTCGCGATCGTTTTTATCGCGACGTTTCGACGAAACGGAGTGATCCCGCCGTTCACGCTTCGATAATCGTTCTCAAGTGGCGCGAAACCGTCGACGAGTGACCGATCGTGGTAAAATATCCCCCTCGGAACTTGAATTTCCGTGGCCCCGTAAAAGTGTTATATCTGCCCCCGGTGTGTCTTACTCGAGAAACAATACCAACGGATAAATGCCGACGGATTTCCGAAGAAGAGCGGCGCACAGAGGATTACCGAGAAAAGTTCGCGGGAATCTCTGGATATCAGTCCGTGGAGAGTAGTGACGCGTAACGCGAAAGCACCACCGCGATAAGGATTTATGAATGGAAACTCGTGCGAGGGGACATGAATGAAACACGGCCGATCAAACAACCGTCGGTTCGCGTCGATCGTTCGAGCAGCGGATGCTTACTTTGGTCGCGAGTTACTCATCCGGCCGATTCGTAGACACGTAGACGACACGCGTCGCTCGAACTCGATTCGCGTTTTTATTCTTCGATCGATAACGCGCGCGCGTTGTTGGAGTTCGAAGCGAATCGTTCGCCCGGCGTTGGTTGATTCGTTGGAAAGAAAGACTAGCTCGTCGCATGTTCGACGATCTCCGATTCTGGCCTTGTGTTCCACGGATCGTCGACGAAGAAATGCGTATCGATTGATCGATGAAAAGGGCCGAACGGATCGAGAATGTCCGACAGTTCGGATCAACTGTCATCGCCGAATAGCGACTGCAACAGCCAGATGGGTGCTGTGCACCGAAACGCGTCCGCCGGCCAGTACGATAACTCGTCGATGCCGGGGCTTTCTTTGACCCATCACGCTCACCCCCAAAATCTGACGTCCGCGTCGAACGGAAGTCCGCAGTATCATCAAGAGTTGACCGGCTGCAGTACCGGGTCCGGGAACGTCGGAAACATCGGGAACATCGGGAACATCGGAGGACTGTCTCTTGGAACCAGTATCGGTAACTACACGCCGGACCAAATATCCTGCATGTGCGAGACATTGTCGCAGAGTCAGGACATCGAGAAGCTCACTAGGTAAGTGATACAATTACGGTTAAATATTCATTATTTCATCGCGACTCGAGAAATCGAGGGAGCCGCGTTGTCGAATCGAAACTACAATCGCAATCGTAATCGTAATCCGCGTCTGTGGATTCTCAAAGTTCGATCGGTTACCATCCGGAGTTCGTTTCATTCGCACGAACGACTTTCAACGTAACGAAGTGCAAGGGCGGAAATTCGTGTAACGCGAATCTTACGAGCGCATTGGTAGATTACTCTAGACTATTAGAAAACTCAAGGTTCGTAACGTTTCGATCAGGCTTCTGTGGTCCCTGCCTCCGGGTGAACTGCTGCGTGGAGACGAGAGCGTCCTAATGGCGAGAGCGATGGTAGCTTTCCATCGAGGCGCTTATCACGAACTTTACTCGATTCTGGAAAGCCACCCGTTTTCGCCCCGTCGCCACGAGGATCTCCAACAGATGTGGTTCAAGTCGCACTACCGCGAGGCGGAAAAAATCCGCGGCCGTCCTCTTGGTGCCGTGGACAAGTACCGGCTACGGAAGAAGTACCCGTTGCCGAAAACGATCTGGGACGGTGAGGAGACCGTCTATTGCTTCAAGGAACGATCGAGAACCGCGCTGAAGGAGTGTTACATGAGAAACAGGTACCCGACGCCCGACGAGAAGAAGAATCTCGCGAAGAAGACCGGCCTCACTCTGACCCAGGTGTCGAATTGGTTCAAGAATCGACGTCAAAGGGATCGAACTCCTCAAACGAGAACGTGAGTCGATCGCGCATCCTTTTCTTTTTCGTTTAATCGCGAATAGAATCGTAAGTGTAATCGAATCGAATCGAAACGAATCGAGTCGAACAACCAACTTACGTACGACCGCCCGCCAATGGCGTAGTTCGACACGCGTGAAATTTTTGAGAGGTTAGGTCGACGATTCTCACCGCGGAGAATTCCCCGGGAGTGCCTCGACCGAGGGTACCGAGCGTCCCGCGGCGGAGTTGGTGCATGGAGGGCACGTGTGTCGACGGGGGGTCGTTGTCTCGACTTTTCCAACGAGCAACAAGTGTTTCGACATGTGTATCGGACCGTCAGGCACTGTCCTTTCTCGTCAGGCACAGCGGGTAGTTTCTGAGCGGTAAATCATTCTCGACGAGCCGTCTCCGGGAGAAGAAACGCGCCCGACGAAAATCCCCCGAATTTCGGGACTACGCACACATATTACACATGTACCTATGTACCTCGAACGAATCAAATTTCGCCGGACCGGCTCACGAGAATGTTTCATGCTCGAAGGCAGTTTGTCCGACGGCAGTCGTTTCATACGCGATCCTTGTGCAAGCGTATTAGTAATAGTTTGGTACACACACGGAACTCATTCGGCGAGAACGAACGCAGGAGAGAAGCAAAGGAACGCGCGGGAGTGTTGTTATGGCTACAAGTCTCGTGGTCACGGTCCACCGTCGTGGACCACGCATCGACGCGACGGATTCGCGACAGTTTTTCTTTCTCTGGCTCGGTATCGTCGATACGATTGTTCGTCGACGCATCTTCGATGAAACACCGTCAACCCTTGAAATCGCGTTTCTTTTCGAATGCGAACTGCATTGCATCCTAGGTTTCTCTCCCTGTTCCCGGCCTCCCCCAAAGGCAAAGGCTCTAGGAAAAGGAAACGCGACGCCCCATTACCGTTTTATGACGCAGCTTCGGTTACGTCTCTCGTTTCACCATTGAGCTGTTCGCACTATCAATAGTTTACTACATAAAGGCCACGACCGGCCCTCTGCCGCTCTCGCGATTTATCTCGAGGCGCGCGTTTCGAGCCGACGACGTTGTCGTCACGCATTGCATTCACTCTCTTTTTCTCCCTCTTCTTTCGTTGCTTTCTATCTCTATTTCATAGCAGTTCTATTTTTCTTTCGTACGTTTTTCCATGTACGAATACCGGATCCAGTATATTCGCGTACTCGAAGCTCCGTGTATCCGGTAAGTCATCGAGATATGTAGTACGGCACGCAATGAAATCGAAATCTAGAGGCGCGACCGTAAAAACGAACGACCCTTGGTTGCCAAAGAAGGTCGAAGAGGAGAGGTTCGAAAGAAATAGCGCGTACAAACCATGGTCAGGGGCGGAGCTGGCTGCACATGGACCACCGTGTATATGCACGTGCGTGTCACGAAGAGAATAAGAAAAGAGAGGAGACATAGAAAGAGAGAGAGAGAGAAAGGCGAACGCGCAAACGACCGAAACGTTTGTTTCCTTTGGGGACAGAACAATGCGTGAATAAGTTGGCCCCTTCTCGACGACCTTCTTCTTGGAAGGAGCGGAACCGTACGAGCTCGCGACCCCTTAATCGTTCCGGTCGTTCCTAGGCCATGGGTTCTAGGTTTTTTTTTTTTCGGATCCGACGTTAAGACAATGAGAACGCTCGCATATGTTTCTCGGTTAGGACCTTTCCTCTGACTTTTCCTTGGTCGGCTTCTTACGAGGGGAACGGACAGGGTCGAAGATTTACGACCGGCCTTGGACAATTTTTCCGAACGACACGATTTTCGGTTACACCCACGTCCGTTACGTACGCCATCGTCATCGAACGCGACACGGGTAACCGTCGCGTCTTTCATCACGAGTTCCCGCGTCGAACAAGAAGAAAGATCTTTCATTTTCCGTCGAACCGTCCGGCCGTAGAATCCGATCGATCTCGATTACCGTGGAGCAACGCGAAGAAAAACATACTTTTCGTCGTTACAGGGATATGTTGCCGTTGAATTGCCAAAGCAACGCGAACAACGCGATCGGCAACTCCGTGAGCAACGGAGAAAGCATACAGTCCTTGCAGAGCATCGATTCGGACGGTCCGAATCTTGCGATGTCACCGCTGTCCACGATGGGCATGTCGCCGGTCGGAATGAATCCGTGCAGCCCGATGGGCATGAGCCCGATGGGCCCGCATCATCACGGATACGCGGCACCCGTCACTCCGTCCTCGGTACACGGGACTCATCCTCACAACGGCGGTCTCAGCCCCATGAACGACGTCAAGGCTCTTTGCTATGGACGCGGAGTCTACGACACCGGTAAGTTTAAAAGAAAATTATTTTTATTTTTTTATTCCAGTCGTCGTAGCTAAAAGATTACCTAGACATATGTGTGAAACCGATTACGATTGTTGCAGGCAAAGACGTCGAGCAAAGTTCCGTGTATTACTCGAGTCACTCGAGCATGCATCATCAGTACTATCAGCAAACGCATCATCAGATGATGTCCTCCGCTCATCATCACCATCATCATCATCATCACCATCAGCAAAGCATGCCAGCCAGATACGAAATCATGCTGCCGCCCCCGCAACACTCGATGTGACCGTCGGACCACGAGGTCGACCGAATCGACGATGCGAATCGTCACGGGCAAGGCGATGACGTCTTCGCGCGCGTCCATGCGTACGCTTGACTCGACGTTTCCCGCTTCGAGGCAACGTCGTCGTCGTCGTCGTCGTCGTCGTCGTCGTCGTCGTCGTCGTCGTCGACAACCGGTCTATCTTTCACGGGGCTTGACAAGCGATAAGTGATTCAGGGAAATGAGAGCGCAAACGAGACACAAGTTTTTTTTTTATTCTCATACTCGAAGCAATTGCTATCGGTCCACGATAGAGTGAACGAAAACGAAAAAGACTTATTGTTAGCGTTCGCGAAACGCGGTGCCTGCGCGATTACGACGCTCGTGGTAGAACCATTGCTCTGCGTTAGACGCTCGGCGTCCAATAGAAAGCCGAACGTGTTCCGAAAACTTTTGGGAGGAGCCTCGAAAGGAGAACCGGTTTTAACTTTTAACCATATACACTGCGAAACTGTGCGCGATGGCGCGTTCCAGTTGAACCGTTTCTTTGTTCCGTGTTTTCCGCTCGATTCGAAGTTTCTCCGGGGATTGATTCGATCATCTCAAAACAGACACGGTCGATTCGTCGAACGGATTCCTCCGATCATAGGGTGCGAGAGAAGTTTGCGAATCGGGCTACGACTATTGACTGTCACGATTGCGAAAGCGTTTACTGCGCCGTTGTGCAAAATAATCCGTGGAAACTACATTTAGAGAAAAATTACGATGATATCCAGACAACATTTGTACGCGATCGAAACTAAGTTGCGCTCACTCAAGGTGTACATATTAGACGGAATACGACGTTCGAATCCTCCAACTGTAAAATATATTTTTGACGATAGAATCGCGCGCCATGGTTGGCGCGCGTTTCGGACGATCTGATCTCGCGTTACGTATCCTAAACAGGAAAGAAGGATCTTTCGCTCACGATACTGCTTTCACAGAAATTAATTGTAAAACTCTAATGACGCGCATTAGATGCATAGAAATAAAATATGAATGCGTGAAATACATCCCATGGTTTTTACAGCTACTTTCGGTACTCGTTTCAAAGATACTTCCACTCTATGACGATGCTTCAAATCGATCGATGTATCGGTAACGACAGAAAAGCGCGTCGTTGTCGCCAGTGGATTCTTTCGACATCGAGACCCTGTGCTGTACTCGTATGTATGTATTACGAATTTTATTATTCGATAAATTTCTGTTATATGTATTATCTATACTTATATCCTGGTGAAGAAGATCTCGATAAAAAGTACCAAATCTATACACTATTGGTTGTCTGTCGTGACGTTACGATAAATTTCTATTATATGTATATCCTGCCGGAGAAGATCTCGATAGAAAGTATCGAATCGTTAAACTACTGGCTGTCGAGTGTGACGTTACAAAAATTAATATTATTCATAGTCTTTCGGAACATAACGATCAGCGCGTGGTGCCATTTACGGCAAAACTTGTAAGCTATTAGTTCATCGATAGCTCTATCCTTACGCGAGATGGTGCCATTATTCTTAGGAACAATCCATCGTGGCCGAATGAAACTCCGTGTGGTGAGATCGTGGGGTCATAAAACCCTCGGTGGAGGCGCCAGAATCCCCGTGTGGTGCGAGCGTGGGGTCACAGAGCCCCCAGAGGTGGCGCCAGAGACCCCGTGTGGTGAGAGCGCGGGGTCACGGAGCCCCCACAGGTAGCGCCAGAGACCCCGTTGGTGAGAGCGTGGGGTCACGGAACCCCCGCGGGTGGCGCCACAGACCCCGTGTGGTGATGGCGTGGGGTCACGGAGCCCCCGCGGGTGGCGCCACAGACCCTGTGTGGTGAGAGCGCGGAGTCACGGAGCCCCCGCGGGTGGCGTCAGAGACCCTGTATGGTGAGAGCGTGGGGTCATAGAACCCCCGGTGGAGGCACCAGGGACCCCGTGTGTGTGAGATATACCCTCACGAGCAATGTCATTGAGATATCTGACTATTGATTATTATAAAACAGATCAGGAGCAATTTCTTGGTACCATAATGTTTGTGTAAAAAGGTCATTTACTACCTATTTTGTTAACAACAAATTGTTACTTTTTCTTTTGCGAATATCTCATTAACTATTAACGGTGCTGGGGGAGCAATTTCGGATTCGAAAGGTGCAAATTGGGAGCAATTGTTTGAGATATAAATCGTTAAGATACGTTAACATTCGATGCCAACTATTTTCGTGTATAAAAATGTACATAATTTAAGAGTTCTACAAAGAAAAAGCCTTATAGATCACGGATCTGTGGAGATCAAACGCGATTTTACGTACATTCTGGTATGCCTAACTTTCTCAGTATGAAAGCTTAGTAAACTATAATTTCTACAGGGCCCCTGTTCGGGTATCGTATTTCTAATACACGATTTCACGTATCAACAATTTTATTTAGTTTGATTTTATTTAACATACAAGAGCTATCTTTTAAACACGACGCACGATTTCAATATATGCATACGTATTCGCACATGTTAATTAAATAAGTCTAGGTTACACTGATATGATTTTGTTACGGTGAAACTGTACAAAGAACTCGCATGCACGAGACTATCCATCCGTTTCTCGGTGTGTTTGCGCGCCTACTAATCATCGCGCGCGTTTCAACCACAGTTCGTACATCGATTCGCGTTTCGCCACTCTTCCAGGACTCTTGGACAACGACGTACTGGATGGTACATACGTTAATTCAAAAACTTACACGCTCTTGTATCGCGGACCGAATCGCTTCGCCCTTTTTCAAAGAGAACGGAAGACGATAAAGTCACGTGTTTCGACCCTTTACTCTCCTCTTCGATGGTTTCTGTACCGCGGAAACTCTATCGGACGATATTTCATACTGTCGATTCGTACCCACTGCACACGATAACAAGATTCTAGAAACATCGTACGAGCCTGTCTCGTTGATACATATTGTCTCCAAGGTACGCGTACGCGTACACGTACGGAATACAGCCTACGATTTATCGAGGATAAATCTGTATAGGGTACACGCTCGTTCTGGATTGAGCGTAACTCTAGTATTACTAAACGATAGACGATAGACCATAGACAACAGACGACAGACGCGATAGGTAAATGTATATATGGTAAGACGAGAGTGTCACATTGAAAAAATATATGTATGCGTTAATTTAGGAGAGGAGGAACGATTAGACGACTCTGCTCTACATGGATATGTGTGGTCAACGTTCCCGACGAATCCATTATCAGCACCGTTAGGAAATAACGATACGAATCACCGAATGATAGCTGGAAGTGCAAACATTTCGCTTGTATTTCGATTCGTTTACGCTTACAACTTACAACGACGCGACGACAATTTTAAAATCACAATGCAATCAAGACCGTCGCTCCGCCAAGTGTTTTCTAAATCTACTGGCTTTTCGGTTCCTTTTTTCGATCCGTTCTTCTACACTGCACGAATAGTTTGTCTTACGCTTTAATTTCTCCTTTGCTCTCCCTCCACTTGCTTCTTCCTTTCCAGCACCCTTTCATTGTCAGAAACACACGTCGCACGCACGCACACTCTTCTTTACCCGTGTTCTCTTTTGCGTGGGTCAAGGAATCGGCTATACGTATGTATATTACAGTGTGGGTATTGGCGGCAAACGATATCGTGTATCGTGATACCGAGCCTAAAAAGTAGCGCTTGTGCAAACGAACGATACGATCGGTTAAAACACGCACGACGTTGCGATCGGGCGCAAAGTAGCGAGGCTGTACTTAGGTGTCGAGTAAAATCGCTGATATGTATGTACAAGCAGGCGCTGAAAGAAACTCAGAGGGATAGGGAACACGTAAGTACGGGCGATCGTGCGATTTTACAATTCGTTCGCGGGTCGGTGTGGACACGCGTTCCGATCTCGAAAGAGAAAAATAATTCAACGCTACAAATAAATTAAAATGTCGATCGAACCGTACGAAAATATACCATTTTTGCGTTGCTCGAAATCAGCACGGGTCGTTGAAAACGTCGTATAAAAATGTTCATACCGATACACCTCTGTTCGATATTCGTTTCTCGTTTCGTTTCCGTTCGAATACCTTCTTTCCGGAATAGCTCGAAATCAAACATACACGCAACACGACTCGTACCTATACGGACCAACAACGCCACGACACAGTGATTTCGCGTGTACGCGTAAATTGTTGCCTCTGCCACGTGCGTCTTGATCTTTGCTCCGATACGAAATCATAGCGAATAGTCCGCGAGGGTACAGTCGGCGGGCGTTCGTCGTGCGGGTATAAATGGTACGCGTGATACTCGACGACTAGGTACGAAGATACGTAGTTCGCGACAGGGAAAAGCGAAACGCAGCAACAGTCTAGCAGGATACTTATCGGTTGCTAATCTGGGATCGAATCTATCAGCGCTGTACTCTTCGCGCGTCGTTGGTCCTCGAGGACAAATTAAGAACCACGTACTGTGGTCACTATACTCTGTGTAACTAGCGTTCTTGCAAGCAACACCCCGTGGTCCACGGGCCTCTGTTCGCGGAGCGAACCGTTGTTTCGAACACGGGCGAATACACGTTTAATTATCGTCGATGAAATACTCATTCGCGAGGACACGAGCAGCCATTAAACTGTATTACACCCGCGGCGTTACGGAACCACGGCGGTGGTGTGCTCCGTCATCACGACGCGAAACAACATCGATGGTCCAGAGATCGAGGAAACTAACGTCTACAACAGGGAGACCTCTTTTCTTCCTAGAAAAGTCTACGGTTGTCGGTTAAATCGGGATTCAGCAACTTTATCGTCGGTACAGTGCATTTACGTCTAACCCGATCATGGTAGTTTTCACGCCTAGGTTTCGCGTTACAATGTATGTACATACAAGAGTTGGAGCAGGATATTGCGTCGAGTCGAAGGGGATTCGAGATAGTTTCGACAGTTGTGTCACGAGCTACGTCCGTTGCTCCTACATCTTTCTCCGTTTCGATCGCGGCAACACCGTCTGCTACTTCGAAATACATAATACTGAAGCTACGCACGATACGTTTGGCCGATGCAACGCGACGGAACGTTAGGCAAAGACTCGTCGAACCGAAACTTTTCTCTCGCGTTCGCGAGAAAGACGGATGATATCGGCGACGGCGGCGGCAGCGATAGCAGCAGCAGCAGCAGCAGCGCGATCGGTCCGTCCGTTTCTCGGTCCGTTGTTCGCCTATCGATCCGCTCGGCTTCGCTTCCGTGAACGAGGTACGCGGCTGGTAACCGCGAAACGATCACGATTCTTCGTATTCTCTCGGAATATTGATGCTTTTTCCGGTGTTTTACAAAGGTACGATTTTCTCGTTTAGATGCATCGGGGTGTCGTACGCCGGAACGTATTTGTAGTACTGCGGCGGATAAGACGACGAGCAAGACGTTGATTCGGAGGGTGACAGTCGGCCCCGGAATCGGCTGCGAACGATGTGAACGATCAGAAGCACACAGAGCAGTGTCAGTATGGCGATCAAGGTGATCGGCACCGTGCCCCAACCCTTCGTTCCCTGATGGATGCCCGTCTCGTTCTCTCTCGAAGGCTGTGAATCAAACCGAAACGTCGACACGGATTCGTATTTTTCCGGGTAAACCAAGCGCGCGGTGCGCGAGATCCGTATATCGGCGGGTACTTACCGTGATCGGACAGATCGGACAACAGGTTCCCGGCTTCGGAGGCGACGGATCGTTACAAGCGATCGAACAGACGGTTTCTCTGCAGCTGAGCCTGCCCCCGGGTTGGCAGGTGCACGCTGTGCACGAGTTCGGATGCCAAGTCGCTCCTTCCGGATGCGTCTCGTTTAGGTGATCGGTACAAGAAGCTCGACAGCGACATATCTGAGGAGGGGAGAGACCAAAGAGAAAGGGAAAGCATCGATGAGTTACTTTTCTCGTTTTCACGGCGAACAAATGATCTCGAATTCAGACTTAATTGTTACGATACTCACGGAACAACCGCGTCTGTTCGTCTTGTAGCCGTAGCTGCACCGTTTTCTGCATCCGACAAGAGGCGGACAGTCGGACTCCGGGGCCCTACATTTGCAGAACGTGCAATCGTTTTCGTCCATTACCAGTCCCCGCTCGCAGTGCAGATCGCAGTTCACTTCGGGGCAAACCTTCTTCCCGGCCTCGACGAACACGACCGTGCCGTTCGTGGGTTCGTCGAAAGTCTGTGGATTCTGGCAGTCGCATACCGAGCAACCAGCTTCGTCGTTCGTTACATCGCAATTCGGCCCGCAGTACGGTAACTCTGGACACGCGTTAAGATCGGTGCTCGATGGCGGTTCGGACGCGTCGATGGCGTTCTCCTTCTCCTGAAATCAGAACGATCGAGTAACGCGCGTGCAAGTGATTGCTCGTGTCGCGATCGAGAACGGAGCGCGTGTGTTCCTACGCGTACCGTTAGCGAGACGCAACTGCAAACAGGGCAATTGTTTTCGTCGTTTGCGTATCCGTGTTTGCAATCCAACGTGCAATATTCCATCGAGTACTGGCAAGGCGGTTCCGCCGGTTCCACCGGTTCCTCGAGAGTAGCGTTCGTCGGTCCTGGACAATGGGGACAACACTCGCCCGGATCCGGGGGAATAGCGTTCTCGCAGGATTTGCACATCCGTTGTTGACAGTCGGGTCCCTCTTCGTCGCAGACGCAGCTCAGACAGTCCGACGCCTGCCATCGTTCGCCCAGTTTCTTCGCCTTCCCCTCGTGAATGCAATAATTGGACGATTTTGCGTTTTCCGTTGCCACCTTCGCCCACGTCACGGATTCTGCAATGGAAACCGGGTCAAGAATATTTTTCCCTTTACGAGCGGTAAACGAAATGAACGATAAGGGAAGGGTGGAGAGGGCATTTACGTTCGCGTCTATTATCGGTCGGTCGATGATTCTCGACACGAGAAAATTGATGAGTCGCGCCGTGTGTTCGTTTACGGCCGAGGAAACTGATACACCTCTTGCGATCGATCGAGCGTTACACGATAATCGACGTCGAGGGATTCCCACGTCACACGGAGTAACGGGGTAATCTTCCCCTGCCTCTTCTCCCGCGTTTGCCACTCGTTTCGACCGTTGCTGTTCCGTAATTGTACCCTGGGTGGGCCGCGCGATCGTTATTAAATTTCAAAACTGACGACGCTATCGAGTTTCGAGCGGTGTCGCCACTCGCGAACGCGTCCGCGGGATAAGAATGGGCTTGTTAAAATTCAACAGGTAAATCGAAAGTTTGCGCTGCGCGGAACCACCGCTCGTCCCGTCTCGAAACTTGAAAGCTCTTTTTCCAGCTACCGTTGGGGATCAGCCAGGACCGGCTTTATCGCTCATTACGATCGAGACGACTCGAATTCGTAATGTCGACAAAAGTCGCCGACTCGCCGACCGAAAGAATTTTCAACGAAAGAGCCAGAAAGGTTCAATCGGTTGCGACCAGGTCGAAATTCTGTTTCCACGCATTATTACACACACGACCCGGGGTATAACTACGTCGGGACGCAGAAATATGTATGCTGTATGAACAGTAGCGTGATTTCGAAAAATCTTCAATGATAAGACAGAAATTATCTAGTGGTTTTGAGACGCGACGCGACGACGTCGGCGGCGACAGTCGGAATCGTTGCTTACCGGCCGCAGCGAACATCGATCGGCGGTTTCCGAGTCGTTCGATGCAACGGATTTGGTCCCAGGAATTTCGCAGCTGCTGGTGTATGTGCGTCTACAGTCGGGTATGTATGTATGCGTGTACAGTCGCGTGATGGTTTTCGGATGTCAGAAAGATACACCGTACCCGGAAGACTCGACGAAGATCGTGTTTCTTACCTGAGGGAACGCAGTCGTAACGGGCGCAACAGCTACCGGGGGTATCTGGATCCGCTGGCTTCACTTGGTTCGGACGTTGACCCGCTGGACATCCCGCCGGTGGACAGTCCGGCGCGCATTTGCAACCACCGTTTTCGCCTCTGACGCTGTCATCCGGACACTCGGCGCCCTGGACGTACTCTCCTTCGAACAGAACCGTTGGAAAAGCTTAGTAGCGCTACGTCTCGCATCCTCGCTGTGAATATTAAAGGTAAAAGTCGAAGGACCATTTTTCTTTTTCTCTTTTTTTTTAACGGAACTGGCGAATCTGAACTGGACGGTATTTTGGTCCGAAAGATGGACCGAGAAATGTCCTTATTCTATTCGATTTCAATTCGAACGAGTCTATTGGCATGTCCCGGCACGTCCTCCTTTGGAAAAAGTCGAGGGGCGTGCGTCAACGATGCGTTTCTTCGTACAAACGCATTGCTTTTCCCTCGCGATCGATTCGTTTAACGTGATCTCGCGCGTTCGCTAGAGAACCGTTGTTTCTCCTCGATGAAATATTATTCCCCGAGGTTACAGGCGCGTTGAAAAATTGCGCTCGCGAGTGACAGGGAATACGTGCGAGCCTGGTGCTCGCCGCATGAGAGGCAAAGTCTGCGAAGGATGGAATGAGGCGTAAAAATGAGAATCCAGTACCCGGATCGACGAGATCTCGATGCGTGTAAAAAGATTTTCGTTCGTACGCTCGCGAACGGTCGCGTCGCGTCGACTCGAGGAAGAATGTTTTCCAGTCGTTACTTCGAAAAGGGATTACGCGTTGCGATTGCGAAGGCATTGCGTCGTCGCGCCAGAACGTCTCGGAGTGTGGACGACTGCATCGACTGTCGAGCAATTTGTACGCGTGACACGCGATCTTCGTGGAAACGTTCGTTCCGTTCCAGGGACATAAAGCGCAAGTAAACCATCGTTCCCGTGGTACGAACGCTCGTCACCCACTTTTGCGGCCCGATTTCTCGACGGTGTGCTGCTGTCGTTCGATCTTTCCGATAAAACTTGGAAGGAAAAGATCGAAGAACCGATGATAGGCCGTTTCGGTTCAAGGTCTCGCGTTAAATCTTGGAGATGGTAAATGTTTCACTGTCCTAACTGTGAGAAGAGAATAGTATCGATGGGTAATGGACAGAGAACCGTTGGATTCGTTTCGAAAATAGGTACGATACGACCGCGTTTCGGGATGCATCTTGTTCGGAACGGTACGGAAACCGGCAACGATACGTTCATTCGGTATGCGAGGGTTACCACTGTCCAGGAGGAGGACTAATACGATTTCTCGCGAAACGCTCCAGTCGCACCGTCGATTCCCAGTGGTCGAGGCAGCTGCTGCTCTTGCTTGCCTCTCAAATTCTGTACCGACCGGTCCTTATCGTTATCATTCGACGTAAATTCCACTGTTCTAACGTGATTTCGTCTCACGGTTCGTGGGACGAAAGAAGCACTCTTCTCGTTTGTGGGAGGCGGAAATGGTCGACTGGCGATTCGAGCGAGAAAAGCGGTCGTCGCGCATGTTCGTCGGTTTCTGGCCGAAGCTCCGTTTGTCGCGGCTAGTTGATTCGACGCGCAACGGTAGACGTCTGGTTGCGACGTTAACGCGCTCGCTAACGTATGTACCTATACGCTCTCTTTGCGCGCGGTAACCTATAGTCGAGCTAGTCGTTTACCCAGGTCGACGATCGGGTTTGCTTCCACCGCCTCTGTCGCCACTAATCTTCGTGCTTCGGCATTCGCGTCAAAGCTAATGGGTGGTCCCGACCACTGGCCACCGGTCGTCTCCCATCCTCCGACCACCGACGGGCACGCTCGCGTTCCCACCAAATTCTCGATTCATCGAACCACCGCTTACCGGAAGCACGAGGCAAAACGCGTTGCTGCTTCGTGTCTCTGCATCGAAAACGGTAAACCATCCTGTGCGCGTATACTATCGCTGCGCCGGCATAAAGGTAAACATCTGCGGTTATCGCGGAACGGATAGTTTGATGTTCGATAAAGCAATTAAACCGAGACTTCCGACCCGAGGCGGCCGAACCTCTCTCTATTCGATGCGACGCGACGAGACTCGCCTCGAGTCGGGTCCGAGAATATCGCGATGTTCCGCGGTTACGGTCGGCTGTAAAACGCGCAGCAGCGATATTCGGCTGGAAACGATACGTTTTCGAATTTATCGTCCGATCGTGATTTACCTCGCATCCTGATTACGGTTTCTAAACATCCGTTCATGTATTTTCATTTTCCTAGTTTTAAATGGAACGAGCTGAAGCCCGAACCCGTTTAAACGGGTAATATCGCGTTTGATGCGAACGAGTCGTCGATCGAGTCGCGATACTAATTCGGGATTATTACCGTCTCCGGACGGAACGCGTCGTCGTCGACGAGCGCGGATTCTTCGCGAATCCGATGGCACGACGCACGACTCGACGCTCGCAATCGCGATAGAATTGCAAAGAGTTTTACTTGAACGGGAAACTAGTGAAATCGTCGAAGGAAACTTTCGATCCTCGGGGGTTCGTTGGTCCGTTGGCTGACGAACGTACCTATTTATCTTTAAACGATACCTGCTGTTTCTTGGTCACCGCATCGTCCGTGTCCTTCTTTCGGCTTCCATTACTCTCGAGTTCTTTCTTCCTTTGATTCCATTTCGATCAATTTACTCGGATTTGGCAGGTATCGAGGCGACATTTTCCTCTCGCAAACCAGCGCGACGCCGCGATCCGGATGCTCCTTTTAATAAATCAGTTTTATCTGGCCGCTTAAATCAGAGAGCGGAAAATTGCCAGCTGCCGGCTGTCGGAACGAAATTATTTCATTCCGCGCGTATCATCCTTTCTCGTTCTTCTTTTTGCAGTCGGGGTTGGACCGTGGGCGCGATCGAAAATTCAACCCCCGTTATCTGCCGAGGAATTAAGGGAATCGAGAGGTCCTCGATACTCTTTTCGCAATGAATCATCGACTAGGAAAAATACGTCGTTCCTCCTAACGCGATGGCACTTAATTTTACCGGCAACGAAGTTTCGCGACCCTCTTCCATTCGATTCTCTCGGCTGTCCGTCCCCCACCGCCTTTCCCCCTATCTACATTTTCTCTTTTCCTCTTTCTCTCATTTTCCCGTTTTCCTCGGGTGGTGAGGCTACCAGAGGTTGGTAACTCATTTACAGTAATACATTGGCGGGAAACGAAGAGAGAGAGAGAGAGAGAGAGAGAGAGAGAGAGAGAGAGAGAGAGAGAAAGCGAAGGCAGAAAGAGGCGAGCAAAGCAAAACACCGAGGGCTCTGGAATGGCGCGAAAGAGTCGACTCGCCGTTAATTCTTTCCGGGCTTTTGTCTATTCCGTTGGTAGCATCCGACCGGTGGATTGCGTCTCTCGGTAGGTACTCCTTCCCCGCATTGTCCGTGTCTGCCGTTGTCGGTGCCCCCGAAGTCGTCGTGTGTTCGAAAACGCGTTTTCGCACAAAACATCCAGCTCCCCTTCCCATCCTTCCTTCCACCGACACGAGCACGCTTTTTCGCTTTTTCGCTATCGCGTTCTTTCCTTCGTTCTCTATTCGATGCATTTCTTCGCGTTACAACTCGGCGCGTCTACATTATCAATAAAACGGATGACCCTCGAGAATGTCGACGACGATTTGCGTCGACGCGTGTCGTCGCTTCGTCGCCTGAAAAGGATTTCGAGCGATTTCTCCTGCGAATAAGCTGGCGACGCGTTTACGATCACGAATTATTGCGAATCCATGGGATACGTGCGTGCGTTCCTCCCTGTTCTCATTTCCCGTCGAATTCCCCGATCTTTCGTCTTCCGAATACACCGTACGGAACGTAGAGCGGACGATGAAATTTGGAGACGGGGAAACGGAGAAAGAAAATCTGCTTCTCCGGTAATACATCTCGAGTGAAATCATTAGCCCGATTGAAATCGGATACTAGGGCAAAAGCGAAACCAATACTGCCTGAGAGAGCCGTTTCGTTTTCGAAGGCGCGGAAACGCGCGTGTATTCAACCTGTTCGCCGAAACGAACAACCACGAAGAACAGTATTAACGGACGTCGCGATACCCATACAATTCGTTTCATAAATCTGGACGCGCCGTATTCGCGCGAGTAACTTTACCTCTGCGTTTGGAATTTTATCCTCCGGATTATCGACGTTGCGACTAATCGGCTTACGTCTTGCGAGATAAAGCAACGGTGGTGTGCCGCGGTCGTTTCGCGTCGTTTGAATCCCCCCTGTCGCGGTCGTATCGATACGAATTAAAAGAAATCGAAGAGGGGACGCGAGAAGTTGGAGTCGAAGGATCCGAGAGGAAAGCTTTCTCACCGTTTTGCCGTAGATACGGACGATTTCATTCCGATAAAAGACTTTGCGGCCGTCCTCTCCTCGACGAGGGCTACGTTTCCGCGGGCTTGTCCTCGGTTCGATTTTCATTCGTGTCGCTTATCTTCTTACTTCGAGTCGGATTACTCGCGGAGGGAACTTTTCAGCAACGGCGTGCCGTTGTTGGCTCGCCTCGAATCGCTCTCGCGAGAGTGGTTATTCGCCTCGCGTCGCATCGAGGCGAAAGGTGGGCGCGAAATTACGCGCTAGTTACGAGACCAAACGAAACGCCGGATAAACGCATTATCCACGAGCTGTTCACGATTTTGAATAATCAAGGAAGTTTTGCCGCGGCTCGAAGCGTAATTCGATGGACGGCCGGGGGGCACTACTTTCTAATCAGAACCTTTCGTGTACGTGTTCTCGTTGCCCGTTCTCGGTCTCGTTCTGTTCGCGCACGAATACGCGCATTTACGGACAAGCCTTTTTAATCAAAGCTTCGTTTCGTTTAACCCTTTTGATCTCGGCTGAAAGATCTCATCAAACGCGCGAAGTAAATCCACACGGATGCTGGAAAAATCGTGGAAAAAGAGCGGTGAAAAGTTGAAACGGGGTGATTCGACGAGTAGTCCTGTTTCGCGCCGGGCGCCGCAGACTTTCGTTCGGGTTCGACCGAATTTGCTTTTTCATCGGTACAGGCCTACGGATGCGAACGTACGCGAACGAATGCGACGCGAACGTCGGCCAAAAAGCACCAGGGGGTTCGACGGAATTTCCGTGGCGAGATACCATATTGTACGACCGTCGAATTGGCATCGGTTTGTAGCCCCGGAGAAT